ATCTTAATTGTCTATTATGATATGAAGCAATTTACATTGTTATACTTAATTTATTATATGTGTCAATAAAAAAGAATGGGGGCAGTAATGGATTTTCCTAGGCAATTGCTTCTAAAATTTTATAGGAAAGTATAATTTCTTTAATGTATTTTATACGTTGTTTACACACTATATAAAAATACTAAAATATTTTATAGGAAGTATTCAATATACATATTTCATTCATTTTCGAACCGCACCTCAATTTTATGAATAAATTTATTCTGAAAATGCATTTTTAAAAAGTTTTCGAAAATACATTTTCAAAATTAATTGTACAAAAAAAATCTTCAATTTCGTCGCAAAAGTCACAAAATTAAAGCCTCTATGATCAAATTTCTTGACATTCTGGATAAAAATATACATATGGATTAGCTAGTATTGAACACTTATATGTCTTTTATTTGACATCCTGTAAAAACTTATGTCTAAGCCTTCTCAGTTTTGCTGCAAAAGTGACAATACATGTTTGTACAATGTTCTGTTGAGTCTCCCTTTAAGTGGTAAGTAGCATTTCAGTTTAATGAACAATAAAATTCATTTTAGTTTATTTGAAATGCTGCTTATCAGTCAAAAAGAGACTCAATAGAACATTGTACAAACATGTATTGTTGGCTTTTGCAACAAAATTGAGGAGGTTTAGACATAAGTTTTTGCAAGATGTAAAATACAAGATATACAAGTGTTCAATGCTAGTTAACTCATATGTCTATTTTTATCCAGGATGTCAATAAATATGATCATATATGTTTTGATTTTGTGACTTTTGCAGCGAAATTGAGGAGACTTACATATAAGTTTCTATTTTTTTGTTTAGCAGGTTCCAAAAATGTATTTTTGGAATAAATTTATTTATAAAATTGAGGTGTGACTCAAACAAAAAAAATATGTGTATGAATCTCCGGAATCTAGAGGACATTTTATTATTGTTGCATGGTGTGTAAATAACAAATAGGGTGCTTTAAGAAATTACCTTATATTATTTTCCATTATTTTTATCAATCTCTCCTAGATCAAGTATTTTGGGCTATCTATAGGGTCTAACTTCAGATTGAAACTACTTGAGAATATTACTCCTTTCTCTACTTCTTCTCCCTTTGAAGTATAAATATGTTAATTTGGAGGAAAAAGTGATTTTTTTTCAATTCGATTTTTAATGTGATCTCAATTTTCTTCTTGTCATTCTTGAAAATGCCTATCTAAGCGTAGAAGAGAATCGTTAATATCCAAAGGAGGTTCCTCTGCGTGGTTAATAGATTTGTTAAGATCTCTTGGGTTAGATGGTTTGATATTTGTAAACCTAAGCTCAGAAGAAGTCTTGATGTTCGTGATCTTCATCTAGTTAATTTAGCGTTATTAGGTAAATGAAGGTGGAGGTTGATTTTTCAATCTATTGGTCTTTAGAGGGATATCTTATCTGCTAGATATGAGGATTTATATGTTTCTCTTTAGAGGTAGGTTATATAGTCTTTAGTTAGTTTCTTCTTGGTGGAGATTGATATCTTTTTTGAGTTCTAAATACTTGATTGGTTTTTCAAAGGACTTGGATGGAAAGTGGGATATGACATGTTAACCTCTTTCTAAGATGACCTATGGATGGGGAATGTTTCTCTTAGGATCACTTTTTATAGGAAATATCATCTCATTTTTTGAGGTTTTTTCCCTTAAGAGGTTTGGCTAAGGCCATAGGCAATCTTATTATGATTTGTCATTCAACTATATGGACTATTTAAAAATCTTGAAATAATTACAATTTTTATCAATAAACCTTTAAACGAGGAGGACATGGAAGAAAAATTATTTTTTGGTCTGGAAAAATATCTTAGTAGATCATCGACTTACTCATACTTTTTCTCCCTGTCTTGTGAACCCTATTAGGAAATATATCACTCAGTTGTAGGGTAGAATTTGCTGAATAAATGGATTGCAAGTTTGCAACACTTGTTCCTTAATCGCAATCGATAAAATTCTAAATTATGTGATGCTTGTTCTGTATTTTAGTACAAATTATATTAAATTTACTCGATGATACTACACCAAAAATTTAATGTTTATCTAGTTAATTTTGTAACTGATCAAGGGTATTGAACCACATAAACAAACAATTCTATGAGCATGTTATAATCCGAAATAGAGCTTCGCTAATCAATAAATTAATTCTTTTTTAAAATTTTGGACTCATTTTAACAAAACCTCCTTTTTCTTTTATCTTTATTATATTTTTCAATTGTCGAGTTAGAGATATTTGATATTGTAATTGATACTATAAATTTTAGAGAATGATGAGAGAGATAATTAGAGAGTTAGACCAATGTGAGCTCATGGTGAAAGAAATTACCTACACTAGATCTATACAAACTTCACAATAACAAAGCAAGCATCGTGATTCAAGATGGGGCAACTACTTATTACGTTAATAATCTTCCATAAGATATTAGTGGAAAATAAGTGGAGCAAATGTTTGAAATATGGGAGAAAATGACCGACATTTATATTGCGGGAAAAAAATAATTTGGAATTTTTGTTTGTTTGCATCATGTTTAGAGATATTAAAAATGAGAAATAGTTGGAAGAACACCTTAAAGATGTTTAGTTTGATATTTACAAGACATGAGTTAACATATCCATATTCGAGAAGCATTTATAAAAACTATTGATACAATAAACTTCAAAGGGAGAAAGGATTAGAACATGAGAAGGAGCATCAATATTGGGTCAAGAGCAACACAAGTGAGAGACACCACATATTCACTCAATCAAGTGTGAGTTCACAATGCATTTATAATCAATGTGAGACTCCAACTCACACTTGACATATTATTATTCTCAACACTCCTCTTTCAAGTGTGAGATCACAATGCTCCCCCTCAAGTGGAAACTCTTGTCCACATACAATTGTATCGCCATTGATACCTATTACTAGACACCTCTCTAGGCATTTCGATACACCTCTTTCTGAGCATTCGATTTCAACGGGACACCACTTCCTGGGCATTTCGATACAAGTAAGCCGATCCTTTTCTCGAACCAAAGGCTCATGATACCATTTGTTAGAACATGATGAGGAGCATCAATATTGGATCAAGAGCAACACAAGTGAGAGAGACACCACATATTCACCCAAAACCTTAAGGTTTTGGGTGAATATGTGGTGTCTCTCTCACTTGTGTTTCTCTTGACACAATGTTAAATATGAGACTCCAACTCACACTTAATATATTATTATTATCAACACTCGCCCTCAACTCTTTTGTCCACATGAGGGGGAGCATTATGGACTCACACTTGAGGGGGAGTGTTGAAAATAATATAACAAGTGTGAGTTAGAGTCCCACATTGGTTATAAATGTGGAGAGTTGAGCATTTATAAGTGGGACAATCCATATACCTATCACCTTAATCCAATGTTGATGCTCCTTAATTGAAAAACTCCTTCAACATTTGTTGGGAGAGTTTTTCCTGTTTACGATATGTTATTTGGTTGGAGTACTCAAGGTAAGTTGGCATGTCCAATGTGTATGGATGGAAATAAAGCTTTTACATTGGAATTTGGTGGAAAAAGTTTGTGGTTTTATTATTTATAGATTCTTTACCACATTTTAGGACAGAAAAAAGAGGCAAAAGTAGGTTAAAGAATTCTTTGAGTTAGACACCTCAGTCATTACTCTTATTGAAATCAACTTTTCTTTTTGGCATAATTAATCACCGAGTCCCTTAAGTTTGAGCGAAGTTTCGCTTTGGTCCCTGAACTAAAAAACATTACATAATGATCCTTTTACTTAAGTTCCGTTAAAACATTTAGTCCCTTTCGTTAGTTTGTGTGAGATGGCATACCAAGTAAGCAAATTTACAATTCCACATCAGCACATTGTATATGTTACGTTACATATGGTTCCATTTGGTTGCAGCTTCATTCTTCTTCCATCAAGCGTGCTTCAGTCATCTTCCATATTTCCAACTTCTTCCATCTTCTTCTTCAAATCAGGGTTAAATCCTTTTCTTCCATCTTCCTTCTACCATCTTCCATTTTCGTCTCTAAATTAGGGAATTAGGGTTCAATGTCAAAGAATGCAAGCACTACCTCAACTTCAAACAACCAAAGCTATGGTACATATGGATTTGTAATTCGTAGAAACAAGAAAATCGAGTGCTTTTGCCAAGATGAAAGTGTTCTTAGAACAGTGAATGATGTTAACAGTGTCAACAAAGGGAGAAAATTCAGGGGTTATAGAAATTGCAGAAACCACATTGAAAAGGGTTGTAATTTCTTCAAGTGGTTAGCTGACGAGTTTGTTGATGAAAGGGATTTGAAGCTTGAAAGACAAAAGAAGGATATTAAAAATTAAAGAATGAAGTTATCTACACGCTCAAAATGTCCATTGTGGTTGGGATTGTAAGCCTAGGGTTGAACCTTGTGTTTGTAACAATGTATTTTAATTAGTTTTAGGATAGTTCGAAGTTATGTTTGTTTCAATGTTTTGTTAAGTTTGTTTAATGAATAATGTAATATTATGTTGGTTCAATGAATAATGTATGTGTAATGTATTTCAATGTTTTGTTAAGTTTTTTTGATGAATAATGTATTGTTATGTTGGTTCAATGAATAATGTACGTGTTATATTTTCACATTTTCATTGAATAATGTCTCAATATTCAACCTGTTAAAAATGCAGCCCAATGACCAATATTTATGGATACAAACTGTAATATAACTTGGCATTATAATCCATTCCAACTTTCATTAACAGATTCAAAGTTTGATATATAACAGGTTAAATAACAAAGGCCATTATAAGGCATTACATAACAGGTTCAATCACAAAAGGCCATTATGAGGCATTACATAGCAGGTTCAATTACAAAAGGTCATTATAGGACAAAATGTGCTTTAGATAATGACATTCCAAAATGTGCATTAACAAAAACAAAAGAGTCAGACCATTAAATGGCATTACAAAATCTTAGAAGACATAATAGTAGTGATCAAGGTTGGCTTGAAATAGGCTTGCCACCCTTATAAAGTTTTTTTTAGTTTTAGGTGGTGACTGACTTGTAACAACAGGTGGTGGTGGTTGATTTGTACCACCTTGTGATGGTGGCTGACTTATAACAACAGGTGGTAGTGGCTGACTTGTAACAGCTTGTGATGGTGGCTGACTTGTTGCATCTTGTATCTGACTTGAATCAACTTGTGATAGTGGCAGACTTGTTGCTTCTTGTACCTGACTTGGAGGAGCTTGTGGTTGTGGTAGTTTACAAGTGGCCTTTTTATGACCATCCTTGTGGCAACGACTACACTTGATACCATGTCTTTCGCTCTTCATGTGTGTCTCACCCCTCACCATCTCTCCAGCTTCCCTATTCCTTTTTTTCTTTGGCCTTCCAGGCTGCCTCTTTATTGGTGGTGGCTGAAGATCAACAACACTAGTCTTTTCCCACAAGGCTTCCTCATTAAGTGGATATATAACAGGTGCATAACAAGCAACATATTGTTCCTTCTTGTAACATTTAGGTACAAAGTCATCAATCTCTAAATGTTGATCCTTCATGCAAGACATTGCATGACAGCAAGGAAGTCCAGTCAACATTCATAGTTTACATAAGCATTCTTTTTTGTAAAGGTTTACAGCATATTTTTCTCCATTGAGTGAAGTATGCCTCACCTCATAGTCATACTCACCTGCACGCGTGTAAACAATTAACCATTTTAATGTTAGTCTATGTAAACAGTTAGCCATTTGAAAGTAATATTCAACAAATCAACCATGTTACCTCACAATCCAATGATTGATTTTCTGTGACTCCTTTTCTATCCTCTTCTTGATATTAGCTAGTATGATGCCATCGTATTTGGTAATCTTTTTCCTATTATATTCTCATCTCTGCATTAGATATACTCTAATTTCTTCCAGCATTGTCACAAATGACATTCCCTAGTTAACACTGCAATTATTTTCATCCTATCAGTCCCCTTATCTTTTTCTAACTGAACTATATCATTAGCAATCATGTCATCATAATACCAAATCCTATCTTTAGTAGGGTAACCTCACTCTCTTAACTTGTCTTATATTTTAAAGTAACTCCAATAATCAAGATCAACAACCCATATCTACTCTAACCCTACATAACCTGACTTGATAAATTTTGCAAACTCCCTAGAAAACTCACCAGAATGATGAACAACACACTCAAACCTACTCTCCATGACCTAATCAACCTACATATAGTATCATAAGTACTAAGTAAGTTAGGTATACAAGAAAGTTAACATTTTTAGTTACGTATTTGTGCAAGTTCGTACCTTAGGTTTTTTTTTCTACAGACAAATGAAAGAACAAAGTTCTTCTTCAATGGAGAGTTGTTGTCGTAAACGTCGCTATCGTCGTCTTCAATAAACTTCGTCTTCAAACAAGTCTTGTTGTAAACAATGTAGCTGCTATCCTACTCTCTGAACCTGAACTTTCATCCAACAATGTAAGTATGCCTTAATACGTTTCATCTTCTTAAAATGGATGTTAAGTGTAACATAAATTTCACCTCATCAATTAAAAAAAAATCAAAATATCCACCTAAGCTATTTTAAGTCCAGCAATACATATTCTAACGTTTTTCTAACCAAAACTAACAAAAACGACTAATATATGTAATGGAGTATAAGTTAGTGGACCATAATGTAACGTTTTTTTTCTTAAGGGACCAAAGCAAAACAAAGACTAAAGTTAAGAGAGTAAAAAAGATATTAAACCTTTCTTTTATTTAACCAATATAATTACGATTTTTATATCTGTTTGTTATAACTTTATTTATTGAACTACATACTTACATTGTATTTCTTTTTTCTTGGATTGTATTATCTTTTTTAAATTGAAAATGTTAATCTATATTTCAATTTGTGGGAGGGTATTAGAGTTAGTGATGGTATTGATATATTTAGTTATAGCTAATTATTAATTAATTACTTTTGTTACAAGTGAGTATAAAAAAGATTTATTAACGTGATCATGATGACTTTATAAAATATATCTTGTATTCATTAGAAATAACATTTTCTCATTAAATCAACTCTAAACAATTTAGTTTTCTCTTAGTTTATATTCATTTTTTCTTCCACTCAATCATTCTTCTCAACTGATAAATAAATAAATAGATTGCATAAATATCAACAAGAGGAGTCAAATCCAAATCATAATATGCCACTTAATAATTAATATATAAATAACAAATATACTAAACTTTGGAGATGCCATTATCCTAATGAAATTCCACCACTGTGGACATATATTACTAAATTCAAATTTTAATGTTTTTAATAAATAAGATCAAATTTTATATTTTAAAATTGACCATCCTCATACAACTATCAATCATTTACATAAACTTAAATATAATTTTCTAGTAATTTTTTTGGGTAAATCATGTTGAATTTGAAATACAGTAATTTAATTTTAATTATTTTTAATATATATATATATATATATATATATATATATATATATATATATATATATATATATATATATATATATATATATATATATATATATATATATATATATATATATATATATATATATATATATATATATATATATATATATATATATATATATATATATATATATATATATATATATATATATATATATATATATATATATATATATATATATATATATATATATATATATATATATATATATATATAATTATTAAAATTCCTTTACATATTATTTAAGATAACTCTCTCAATGTAAATTAGTAATATGACTAAATTAATTTCTAGACTAATTATTGGCTTGATGAATTTTTGGTGAACATTCTTTAAATTCATCAACATATTGACCAGCATTGGTGTAGTATATTTCTCCTAATATAACCCTAATTCAAATAATTTGGTGTGCATAATAATCATTACTATAAAATATACATTTTATAATATATTATTATCTTGGTCAACTAATTTATGTTGGACTATCCCTCCTATTTTAAGTAACTCAAATGAATCTGGATTATTATCTAATACGTGTGTAAGTCTGTGTTATTATAAAACAAACAAAAATTAGGTTAACAATTCATAAAATGAGAAACAACAAAATAAAAATTGAGAGAAGAGTAAAATTTTCGCAGCTCCAATTCAACACAGAGCAGTCCCACGAGATTAGAGTTTTTTCACAATCCAACTGTCGGATCGTCCTGATTTTTTATGACAGTGTTCAACACTCACAGAGGTACACTTTGAACAGTGGAGATCATATTTCGAGCATTTTAAGTCTGTCTAATGATTCCACTTCTGAAGTGCAATTTTTTGTGGTTGTTATGGTTGACTATCTCTCTTGACAACATATGTTTTTCCACGCTGAAATTGTGTTGTGTTGTTTGTGTGTTTTATTGATTGTCATTACATTTGATATTTGGGAGAGATTGTGTTGTTGGATTATTCCATTGTATTGTAGATGTCCTCCCAACAAGTGGTATCTAGAGTTGTGCTTTTATTTGTGTAATGATGGAGACGAATACATCTAGGATGGTGAGTTTGAATGGATCCAACTATAATCTTTGGAAAGGGAAGATAAAAGTTTTGCTTTGTGATAAAGGCTTTCACTTGCCCATTTTGTCTAATGAAAAACTCGATGGAAAGAGTGATGAAGAATGATCTTTGTTGCATAGACAAGTTTATGGTTACATTCGTCAATGGGTGAATGATAATATTTTGAATCATGTGAGCTCGGTGACTCATGCTTGCTCTCTTTGGACCAAAATTATGGAGTTGTATGTAATAAAAACAGGGAACAACAAGTTGCTCTTGTTCAAGGAATTGATGTCATTGAGGTATAATAATGGTTCACCAATGACACTAGAACACTTTCCAAGAGATTCTAAATCAATCGTCAGTGACGAATCTTACTTTTGATGATGAAATGCAAGGTTTGTGGCTTCTTAGTACTTTTCCTAATTATTAAAAGACTTTTAGGTCATCCTTGTATAACTCCGCTCCGAATGGTATCATCTCGATGGACTTTACTAAAAGTAGTGTGTTGAATGAGGAGTTGAGGTGTAAGTCACAAGGATCTTCTTTATATTCCAATGTGTTGGTTACTGAATCGAGGGGGAGACATCAAAATAGAGGTTCAAGTAATCGTGGGACATCACGTGGTAAATCATAAGAAGGTTCTAATAGATTCTCTAATATTGAGTGTCATAATTGCGGGAAAAGGGGCGCATAAAAAGGTATTTCCAAAAATTGAAAAGGAAAAACAAGAAAAAGAATTACAACAACGACAAAAAGGAAGGTAACAACAATAAAGATATTGTTATTGTTGATGATTTCTTTGTTGTTTGTGATAATTGTATAGAGAATGTCAATCTGTCATGTGATGAGATGGATTAGGTGGTTGATAGTGGTGATTTTACTCATGCAACCTCGAGACGTGATCTTTTTTCAACTTATAACACTAGTGACTTTGAGGTTGTTCGTATGGGAAATAATTGGCAAGCTAATGTCATCGGAATAAGAGATATTTGTGTTGAAACTAGCAATGGTACTACTCTAATTCTTAAATGCGTAAAACACATTCTGAACTTTGATTTAATATTTTATCAGTTAGAAAGTTGGATATTGAAGGATATGATAATTCTTTTTTGGCCAATGAATAATACTTAAAGAAAGGCTCAATGATGGTTGCTAAAGGAAAAAGGAATTCAAACATGTATATCGTCCAACTTGGGTTTTTGAAGTACTACATTAACACTTGTGACAACCATAGCTCATTCGAATCATGGCATAAGCATTTGGGTCATATGAGTGAAAAAGGTTTGAGAATTTTGGCAAAGAAAAATTTGTTGTATGGTGTTTCCGATGCAAAGTTGAGAAAGTGTTCGCATTGTTTTCTAGGTAAGCAAAGACGAGTTTCATTTATGTCATCTGAACCAAAGTGGAAAACAAAAGTGTTGGATTTAGTAAATTACAATGTGTGTGGTCCAATGAAGACACGATCTCTTGGTGGTGCATATTACTCTGTAACTTTCATTAATGATTATTCTCAGAAAACATGAGCTTATACCTTGATGATGAAAGATCAAGTGTTAGATACCTTTAAGTCATTTCAAGGATCTGTTGAAAGAGAAATGGGATAAAGATCAAGTGTATCCAAATTGATAATAGGGGAGAGTATGTTAGACCTTTTGACAAGTATTATCAAAATCAAGGTATACGTCATCAAAAGTCTCCTCCAAAAACACCACAATTGAATGGGTTATCCGAAATAATGAATACAACTTTGGTGGAAAGGGTGAGATGTTTACTTTCTCAATCAAAGTTTCTGAAATACATTTGGGATAAGCATTGAGCACATTTGTACATCTTTTAAAGCTTACTCCATGTGTCCCTTTGAAGTTTGATGTTCCAAATCATGTTTGGGTTGGTAAGGATATTTTCTACGACCATTTTCGGGTGATTGGTGCATGGCTTGTGTGCATATTCTGAAGGATGAAAGATCGGAAATGAATGAGAAGCCGAAGAAATATGTGTTTGTTGGGTATGACTTTGATTATTTTAGGTATCGATTCTTTGATCTGGTTCAACAGA